TCAGATTTCGTTTGCATTAAGAAAGTCATTATCTAGTTTTGAAATGTAGATATGAGCTACAGGAGAATCAGGCAGCTGAGGTGCCTAAGACATTCACTATCCCTGAGCTGAAGGCTGCTCCCCCCTAATGTTTGGAGCCTAAGGACAAGACAGCCTTAAGCACAGCCTCTCCCAACATTACTGAAAGTAAGTTTCCCTATTTCCCTTCTTAAAGTTTGGGCTTCTAGAACTGCTAAATCCCAGGCCTCTACAAGACTACAACCATCCTTAGCTGAGATTATGCAAGTTTTTCAAGGATAATATCTTTTAAAGAAATAAATAGATGATTTAGAACTTTCAGCGTTCATGTGCTTTTTTCTCTGTGACCTTAAACAGAGAAGGTTAGAACTTAAAAAATCTTTAGATGACACTGATAAGTACATTAATGTCTTTAAAGGACTTACTTAGACTATAAACAAGAGCAAAAAGGTGTATTGGTAATCTTAAAGCCAGATTTGGCTTCTAGTGAAGGGTAGCATCACAAGCTGCTCTTACATTTTGAGATAAATATCATATTGCTTATTTTAAAGAGCCAATAGATGGACAACCAGTGGATCTACGTATTCCCACTGGAGCCCAAACAGTCAGACCCCTGCTCGCCTAATAGCCAGGAAAGAAACTAGAAAAGACATTTTCTTTCAAGTATGTATTCTTGAAGGTCTAAAAAGAAATAAAACTAAGGCTTCTAGTTATTTTAAATTTAGGAGAAAGATAAGCACCCCTCTGATTTTTTACAATGTTTAATATTGGAACTGGTAAAGCATACTTCCCTAGATCCTAATTCAATAGAGGGGCAGATTACTCTTAGAGATAAGTTAATTAGTCAGCTCCAGATATTAAAAAATAGCCACAAAAGATAGATTTTAGTGTAGATGACTAGATACTTTAGCAGAAACTGCTTCCTTAGAATCCTGTAACCAGAACTGGGAAAAAACCAGGGGAAGAAAACAAAGCAATCAAAAACGACTGCCTTTGTTGCAGCCTCAAAGCAGGCCCTAAGTCTGATTCTCTGGGCTCCAAGGAGAGCTCATCAACAATGAGGTTCATCTGCTACTGCTGTCAGAAGCCAGGCCAGCATAAGAGGGACTGCCTTAAGAGGCCCACAAGCCAGGCCCTGACTGCCAAGGCAGCCACTAGATGTGAGACTGCGCTCTGAGGTGGAGGCTCCAGAGCTCAGACTCAGCTTCCCAGGTGGTCCAGTAGGACAGAAGGGTGCTGGGACTGCCTCCTCCCTCTGGCCAGACTGTTATCTCTACATGTCACCTCCATGGAGGAGCCTGAGTAATCATGAGTAGAGAAATATCCAGCTTCTTGCTGGACATTGGCACAGGTCTCTTTGTCCTCCAATCCTGACCTTCCTTTCAGTCATTTACCTCAATAGAAACACACTTTAGACAATATCTTGCTTACTCCTAATAGCCTAGCTCTCATCCTGGAGAGATTTTTCCTGTCTAAATACTGCAATATAATTTCAGGCTTCTAACTGATCAAAATTGCACTGAGAATGGTTTTCACAAATGTAATACCTATTGTTGCTCATGTACAAAGACTTAAAAGATATTTCATTGGTTAAAACAGGTTCCCAAAAGACAGAGAAAATCCTCTCAGGATAAAAAGGTATAAAAAAAAACTGGCTGTACCTTGTCAAACAGCATTGGGACTATAGATAGAGTTAGGCCTTGTCTTTAGACCATAAAACTCAGAGCCACTGTGTTAAAAGGAGAAATCCCTAGGTAGTGCCTCTTGCTTGCAGTGGGGGCCATATCCGAAATACGAGATAGGACATTGGTTTAATCTGACTGAATGCTGTGTGTTTCATGATGAGTATATAAGCCTGGTTGATTTCTGAATTAACTCAGGTATTTTATGCTGATAGTAAATATAAGTGTGACCCCCTTAACTAAAACTAGAGGAATTTATAACCAACTGTCAGAATCCATAAATATAGAGATGTAAGAGCCAGGGGGTTACAATTGCCATTCCTTAAAAAGTTTATAAATTTGACTGTTATCTCAAATGCTCATGCATTAATTATACCTGTTCTTATCTATCAGAAAATTTGTTGTTCCCTAGAAGATACCAAAACCCAGGTAAGACTTATAGCAAATATGCTAGATTACTTTTAGATTCCTTTTACTGGGATGCACCAGAACAATTGTCTAGAGGAAAGATTATGTCATGTAGTAAGGCTTTATCTAGCTATACTCATTTGCCTACATCAGTCAGGCATGCCTCGCTCAGTGGGCCCCAGGTATATGACACAAGCTGCAGACGCTAGAAGGCTGTACAGGAATAAATAGGTCTCAGTTGATGTGCTTCATAGTAGAAAGGATACAAATTGGAAATACAGACAAAAAATAAGAATAGTGATACTAACAGCCTGCATGAATGAAAGCCGGTTGGGAAACAGAGAAAAAGTTATGCTTCCCTGGATCCAGACAGAGAAAAAGGACATTTCAAGCAAAAAAAAAAAAAAATGTCCAAAGCTGCTAGAGAGAGTAAAAATAAAGTGTTCATGATGGAGTTGGCAAACTTTTCAGATTGCTTGGTCATGGGTCTTCCCCTCTCAGCCTGAGTGAACTCACGTCAACTTCCAATACAAGGAAAAATGCTATTAAACTTTTAATAGATGGTCAAGTAGATGTATCAGCAGTTACGCAGCCAGTGGCCCCCCTTGCAAACCAGAGAGTACTCAGTGTTTTCCATAGGTCTTCATGTGCTCCCAGCAATAAGAGTTGGACAGCTTATTTGTGATAACACTCAATGACCATGCAAGATAAGAAAGGGATTAAACCCTTTAAGAGATCTCTGTTAATGGCCCTACAAAAAGTTCTGACTAGTCCCTATAATTACAAACTTAAAAATGGTCATTATATACCAGATCATTCTGCTAATGTCTCAATAACTGTTCAAAACATTAGACATCAAATCAATAGTATGTGAGATTCTGAAGTCCCCTGGACCATATCTTTGTCATCTTTATATTAAGTCGTTACTATCGCATTGGTGAAAATCATTTTGACTGTATTCATAAGTATCATTATTTGGCCCATGCATGTTTAATGATTTCTATTGCTTTGTCGCCCCCAAATTTAAAGCTATTCCACCTAGCAAAATAAAAACGCCTGGTGTCTATTGGCCTTTAGATAGAACCCCTGGAGAGTGTCCCTGACTGCTGGTTCGCAACAATGACCCCTCTCAGCCTGAAGAAGCTACAGAGGTCATCACCCGTGGTTCCCTCGTGGAATTTCAGATTACTCCTACAGAGGGGGTAATGCTGTAGGCAGCTGAATTAGATAGAACTACTATAGGCAGTCAGACAGGGTCAGGCCCTTAGGAAGGCAATACAGAAGGCAAGGTGGCTTTGCAACTTTGGAAGAGAGAGACACTGCTGCTTTGGGACAGACCTCGAGACACAGAGTAAACAAACACAGCCACCTACTTCTCTAAGGATGGGCATCAGTGACTGATATTCTAAATAAGTATCAATCACCTTGTAGAAGCGTTAAAGAGTCAATAACCCAACCCCCAATAGGAAGAGACCTGTCCCATATGCATGCCCACTTGCTACATAACAAATCCATTTGGTACTGGATTCAATCAGTTTTGCCTGAGCAATGGTGCTTATAATCTCATGGTTGACCATAGTTTTGTCCCAACTTATGCCCATCTAAGCGAGTTCCTATGTTCCCCACCACCTTAGACCCACCTCAACACGTAGTTTCACTCTATAAAAGTCCCTGGAAGAGACAGCTTCCCAGGGAACAACCCACTCAGGCCCCCTCTCCTGTCCTTCTCTCAGACAGGAGCTTTCTTTCCCCAAATAAATATATTATAGTTTAAAAGAAACATTCCAATAAATGTAATTAGTTTAAAAGGGCCACATTTCTGCTACTTCTAATGGAAATCTACCCCCTCACTTCACATGCACTTGTGTGCTCAGCCCCACCCACACTGAGGCAGGCAAGGTGGAAGCCCTCCACTTGAGTGACTTTGGAAGGCATAGCAAAAACACTGAGGATTCTGCTGTGATTTCATCCATTTGGTTCTGTAAATCTGGCACTGTGCACCTTCTGGTCTTCCTCCAAAGGCAAAATCACCAGGAGAGGTGAACACTTAGAACGAGTTCAAGATGTAAAGGTGGCCACAACAATATGACCAGTTTCAGAAAGTCGGACCTCAGGAAGTGATAGACTTCAAGTGCTTCAGGAAACAGTGGAAAAAATGGAATAATTTATTCAAAAGAGGGCAGGATTGGGGGAAAATTAATGATATTGTGACATTTCTGTGTCAATTTATTAATATAAGCATTCAATAATGTTTTTGATTATACTCCATATTTTTCTTGGTGAAACTGGGGATTGAACTCAGGACCTTGTGTTTGCCAGGGAAGTGCTTATTCTACTGAGCCATCTCCCCAGGCCCTGTGTACTTCATATTCTTAAGGGTGCAAAGTTTCCAGCATATCCACCTGTCATTTCTTGGTGTGAATAAAATGTTGTCCATGCAATAATGAAAGATACAGGTTCATTATTTTGGTGGAGAAGAATCAACAAAAGAAAATAAAATTATTAGAGTACATAAATATTGTATCCCTTCCTAAAATTGTTTTTTCTTTTTGGGGGGCGTGGGGAGAGCCTACAGGGTTTTCAGGTCTCACTACTACATCGGACTCGTAGTGATCCACCTGTTTAAAGCCTCCCAAGAGCTGGGATTATAGTGCAAGCCACCACGCCCAGTCTTACTTGCCTTCTCAGCGCACCCAGGGGGCGGGAGCAGGGCCGGCATGGCAGGCCTGGAATGAACCCCCGGTCCTGGCACCTGTTTGCAGGCGCTTTAATCTGCTGAGCTACATTACTAAAATTGTTAAATTTTACAGATTAATTTTTTTTGTGAGATACAGGCATTAATGATTTCTGTAGTGGAAACATAAGGGTGAATGTACAAAGTCATAAATTTAACTACATTTTCATAAGGCAGATTCCCTGAGTTACTCTGCCCAGAGCCCCCAGCACCTCCTTGTTCCTCAGGCTGTAGATCACAGGGTTGAGCATCGGGGTGAGGATGATGTAGAAGACAGCCAGGACCTTGTCCTCTGTTGGAGAACGGAGGGACTTTGGACGGAGGTAAGTGTAGGCAAACGGTGCCATGTAGAAAGTCACCACGGTGAGGTGGGTGCCGCAGGTGGCATAGGCCTTCTTCCTGCCTTCCCGGGAGCGCATGCAGCAGACAGTAAGGAGAATTTTCCCATAGGAAAATGCAATGACTATGGATGGGAAAAGGAGGAAGAAGGTGGTGCTCAGAAAAACAGTGTACTCATAGACACTGGTGTCCATGCAGGCCAGAGTCAGCATGGCTGGGACATCACAGAAGAAGTGATCGATGGCCCTGGACCTGCAGTAGGGGATATGAAGAGCGTAGACTGTGTGGGCACAAGAGTTGACAGCACCTATGGCCCAGGATCCCAGGATCATCAGCACACACACTCTCCTGCTCATGCGGATGGGGTAGTGCAGAGGAAGGCAGATGGCCACATAGCGGTCATAGGCCATGGACATCAGGATCAGCGCTTCTGCTCCTGCTAAAGTCAAGAAGAAGAAGCTCTGGAAGCCACACCCAATGAAGGAGATGGACTTGCTTCCAGTTAGAAACCCAGCAACCATCTTGGGCACAGTGGTGGAGACGTAAATGAGGTCCATGAGGGAGAGCTGGCTGAGCAGGAGGTACATGGGTGTGTGGAGGTGGGCGTCCAGGAGGATGAGCAGGACCATGCACAGGTTGCCAGCCAGGGCCATCAGGAAGACGGGGAAGGTGAGCGTGAAGAAGACGAGGCCAGCCCTTGATAGGGGGAAAAGGCCCAGGAGGACGAAGTCAGTAGAGGGCTGCGTGTAATTTTCCATTAGGAATTTATGAAGTTTATCCTAAAAATAGCTATGGCAGCAAATATGTATAGATCATTACCAAATCTGACAAATTCCACAGCGTAATCAGCTTGTGACCGAATAATAACTTGCACACACTTTAAAACATAGCAGTGAATATTTATTGATCATTAACTAAAGTAGAAAAATTCCCTGTAAAACTAGCTCATCATTTATTCGCATTCTACACTTTCTAGGTATAAAACCAAGTTTGAAAAAAGTGAATTAGAGTTTTCCTCCCAAGACTTTCCTATTTTATGAAACAACCATTTATGACCTAAAAGCTTTGTAATAAATCTCCAACTATACATCACAGATGAAATGGTTTGCTGCCATAGTATAATTTATACAACCTCAAATTCTGAGTAGATTTCCAAAGTTATGCTAAGAAATCCATGTGGAAGCACATTGTAGTATGGTTTCTATTATGAATAAATTTTAATACCCTTATGCTTAATCATTTCTTAAATTTTTCCAGAGTAAATTCTATTATTTTTCCATCTAAATAGTTATTTTTATGAATTGAGTAGCCTTCTTTGGTATACATTTTGTCCAAAATTCCCATGCCAATTTTCCTTTAGGTCAGATATCACTGTAAATTTCATTTGTTCAGAAACTTACAATGAAATTCCTATTGCGAATCTCACAATAATCATAGTGATTCATACACTTTATTTTCAAAGTTGACCCTGATCCTTTGTCTTTCTGCCCTTCTTCTACATGGGAAGTTTTCTAGCCCTCTATGTTTCCCCTTAGAAATCACCCAAGGGGGGAAAGGCACATTGGATGGTGCTCAGTACCAGCAATCATTTGGGAAACAGCCGTAAGTATCATAGAGAAATGTCACTGTATACTCGGGAGAAAAGCTTTCATCAAAGAACAAAATAAAACAGTATGTATTTTGATGAAGCTATAGAGGAATTGGTAATCATTGTGCATTTCTGTGAGAAAATTTCTGCTGCAAGTATGGAAAATAGTATCTTAATTCCTAAAAAAAACAGGCAAAGTTGAAACATGATCTAGTAATGGCACTTTGGAATGTGTCTGGTGACTGTTCACAGCCACTTTCAGATGAGCATACTTCACTGCATCCACAAGAGAGGAACGCCTTAACTGAACTTGTGAACAACAGGAGCTGTGTCTGCCTGTGGTAGCACATGTGGCTCTCTGTGGGGACAGCCATGTGCGGCTGTCACATGGGTACTCATGGAGGGCATTATGCTAAGGGGACAAGCCAGTGACAAAGAGACAAATGCACTACAAACTGGCTTCTCTTTGGAGCACAGCACAGTAAAATCAGAAATAGGGAGTGAGGAGGTGCACGCTGGGGCCAGCTGCACAGAGGGGAGGGCGGTCGGCCATCCCGGAGGTGCGCGGCGCGGTGAGGGCAGAGCTGGACGCTGCAAGCGTACTAAGTGCTGCAGGGACAGCGCTCTGCGCAGGGAAGGGAAGGAACCAGCAAATGGTGCCTAAGTATTTTATCTCACTACAGTAACACGCCCCTCTAGTGTACTCAAATTATTGTGCATAAAGATTCCCAATTTAACTGAAGGTACACGAAACTGGATTCCGAGCCATATTACAATAACTTACACTCTTTATGCTTTGATTTATGAAAACCAGGAGATAAAAAAATAAGAATAATTTATTTAATTTTCTTTTAACCTTAAAGAGAAGAAACCAATAACAATGATATTGAATTTCAAAACAAGATAATAAGAAATTAGTGACAGCTATATATAAGTTTTATTAGAAACAAAATAAGGGCAAACTGATCCAATCCCAGTGCATTTATATAAAGAATTAAATTTTCCACAAATAGTGCAATATTAGAAATACTAAGGCACTGAGGGCTGTAGCCCTTCCTGTCACTTGCTACATGAATAGTTCTGTCAGCCGCACACTTTCCAGACAAGCCATTTGTCCTTAGTTACAGACTGAAAACTGTACCATGGAACAGAACAGTAGTGCCACATCAGATCTGGTGTTTCGTGGCGTATCTGAGGAACACCAAGCAGCATCTCTGGCCTCGCCCAAGGCCCAGTGCGCAGCACACAGCATGTGGCACACACTCTACTCCAGCACCTTCAAGACAGCAAGTCAGCCTCCAGTATGCATTTCCATAACACCTTTTTGTCATAAAAAATCTATCTATCTGTCTATCTATCTATCTATCTATCTATCTATCTGTCTGTCTGTCTATCATCTACCTATCATTTCACTTTTAATCTTTTACAAGGTAAAAACACTTTCTTACCAACACATTTGAAGCACATTTTAGGCTCTTCCTATTACTTTGATTTTCTTGTGCTCCCCTCAAGCTGTGGATGTGGACATCCGTGGGGCCGACAGTTTCAGGAGGAAGGGCTTGCCGGAAGCTTGTGGATGGAGTCAGTGTCCCCGAGAAGCAATGGGCCTTGGGCCGGGGCTGTGTTCCCCCTGAAAGGACAGTATGAGGCTTGGAGTTTATTGATTGTATATTATTACGTATGTTGAGTAGCAACATTTTAATATACACAAGCAAGCATATTTATGGAAAGATGTATTTAAATATGTTTTAAATGTCTGCTTGAGTTACTGCTCAAATATGTGCACAGAATGCTTGTGACATACCATGGCTCCACACTGCAAATATGGCAGTGGTTTTCTGATGCGAGAATCTGAAAGTGTAAATAAGGACCAAAATATTTAATAAATATCCTGAAATATGAAAAGCACACTCAAATGAAAAGTCAAACTGGAGAGCAGGGAGGGGGAGAGCAAGGAAGGGTAAAGAGAAATACAAGAAGGAAAAATTGAAAACAAAGTTTTTGTAAATGAGGGCAAGAGGGGTTGGAGGAAAGGGAGATGAATGGGGAAAACAGAAGAATTAAGATATATTTTGGACAGCTGCAATTTCCCTATGGTGAATGTGATCCTTTTGCACATCTAAAATGTATCAATAAAATTAATTAATGAAAAAGCAAAACTGAAATGAAAAAAGTAAAAATTCATTGAAATTGAAATTTTCTAAAGGAGAAAATTTATTGAGAGAGGTTGTGAAACGTTCTTTAAGCTCAAATAAAATTATGTTATTATTTCAATTTTACTCTCCATAGCATCTTCTTGTGTAACTTTTATCACCAGCTTAGACTGATATTCCACTTGATTCTTCAAAAAGTGTAAATATCTTCATATAAAATCATTTTCAACTGAGCAAAATGGCCAACTTGTGTCTCGTCTCCTGCGACGCATTGTCACCCATAGAGGAATGCGCCTGCGGAGAAAGCCTGTGCGCACCGCAGCCCCGAACGCCGTCGGAACAAGGCTCTGCAGTTGTCGCCCGTGTGTGAAGGAGAATCCCATGTTCTGGCCTTTGCCATCAGTCTGCATCTCTTCACTGCAGGAACCTCTCATCCTATTTTAATAAATAGACTTGTCCAATGCGGCCTTGTGGTCACAGCAGCTATAAGAACAGCACAGACATTTCTATCCCTAGCGGTCACAAACGGAACCAGTGAAAGCCTGGGAACCAAAGAGCAGCAGCCCCATACTCGGGACCGTGCAGTTTTCACTGTAGCACAGACCCCACACTCTGCTCCCTGCGGGTCAGGCAATTCTCAGACAGATTGCTACAGTCATACTTCCACTGAATTTGTTTGGTCACTTTATAGTGGTGCAACAATACTCTAATATACAAAAGGCCCCCTAAAATTCACTTTGCCAGGATTTTTCTGAAGTAGTCCAGGTTTGACTTTTTTAAGCCACTAAATACAATAAAGTATTAAACATTTATGTACTATATAAATACATGTATATTTCTCGACTTCATGATACAGCATGACTGTCTTGTCAGAAATATGTATCAGTTTTCTCTTGATGGCTGAAACATCCTCCTGCTCCTGATAACCCATAACCTGGCCCACCTGCCTGAGCAAGTTCTGAACACACTAACCCGGAAAGCAAAGTTAATGTATTGGCAGTGCTCTGACATCCTGCACCCTGCACAGCCACGGGAGCGCCTCTCACAAATCCGCTCATGCCTGAGTCTGCCTGGGCACACCGCTAAGGATACTGGGCACTGACCCAGTCCTGAGTGCGCTTTGCTGTACATGAGCTCCCTACAGTCTCAGCTGACAGTGCAGGGCATGAGGTGAGGCCTCACAATGGTGTAGGAGCTCTTAGATCACCTTCTCTGCAAGCGTTTCCACAACAGAATCTCGGAGGAAGAGCAAAAGACTGTGTAGGGTCTTCATTGCTTTCTGTACTCAGGAATAGCTGATCCCATTTCAGAGCAAGACAGTACTCATTGTTAATATTTTGAAAGGGATAAAGGACCATGTCATAGTATAAAGGGGTCCCTTGGCACCCAGGGATGCTCCTATGCACTTCAGTTCCCCAAAGCTGTCTGCCTCCCTGAAGCTCCATTGCACTACTACACAGGCAGTACAGTGGTAGAAAGATATCTTATGGGGACGTGGAAAGGGACCACGTGGAGGTTTGCTGAGCGAAGTTGGTCTGGTTTTGCTATGTGGCCAAAGTTTGCCAGGTCCTTTAGGTTTCTACCTCTCTACCTTGACCTAATTCTTTCCGTTAACATTTGAGAAAGGTAAAATTTGGTTGGTGAGGTCACATGGAATCCTAAGAGGAGGAAACGTGGGTATCACAGGATTCCTCCAATAAAATACACGATGAGCACTCAGTGAATGACTCGGTGTAAGACAGCTCTGAAGGGCTGCTAAGACTTGAGGTCCTCGTCACTGGCACCACCAAGTCATGCGACAGCTATCACCACAAGTGAATGGCCTTGACTTTCTCCAAGGCTGGCCAGGGGTATAGAATCCAAGTGTGCTTTGCAAATCTTTTCTGTTTAGCTCTCAAAAGTTTTTAGTGTCAGTAAACCAGGCATTATTATTATTATTATTATTATTATTACTATTATTATTTGGGTAAAATGCTTTCTTTCTGTACAGAAATAAAAAATGAAGAAGTTTCAAAATTAAAAGCATGAAGGGCAAACTGCAGTTGAACAGAAACTGAAAAGCTACTTTTCAGATGCTTACTGGAATTCTTTCCAAAGTGTAGTTTTAAACTTTAAAACTTATGTGTTTGCTTCATTTAACCTGTCACAATCTTTTACGACAATGGCTGTCACAGATTTTCATGTTGAAATGATTGCTATAAGTTCTCAGTGGGTGACTACAATAAGCTGACTCATGGGAAGGGACATCAGGAAGCAGGAGGCGGGGTGCACCCACAAATGCTCGCAGAATCACACATCATTCATGGAAAACGCTAAGAAAATGAGTGGAAAAATATCAAAAGGAAATCTTGAGCACAACATTCATTCTTTACCATCCTCACTGTGAACTTGGACATGAGTGGAGGGCTTTTCCAGGTGTCACCTGAGTCCACGGACAGTGCAGGCAGGGGACACGTCCCCCTTACTTCCACCATTGGCACCTGCAACCCTGCAAAGAACCTGCTCAGTTTGGATCCAAAATCAATCCTGCTGTCTGCCACTCAGAGCACAGGATGTCCGCTACACAGCAGAGGCAAAGAGTAGCAAGTTCTCCTCAAATTCAGCTTCCAAACTCCTTCTGAAACCAAGCTCTCTTACGCACTTGCCAGAATTTCTGTTACATAGTAAATAAAAAATAAAATTTGAATTAGTAGCTCTTATGGAAATAAGATAATTTCCCCACATTTGAAAATTCACTGCCCAGATGAATTGCTGTACTGGTCTGCTTTCAGGCTTCAGGCAAAATATCCAGCACCTACAATTCCAAGGGCAGTGTAGTTTGGCTTTGCGTGCACTTGATGCTGGCAGGCCTGAGGACAGGAGCGGGAGGCTCCCTGCTGCAGGGCCAGCAGGGGCAAAGCTGCTCAGTGCAGAGGGCAGAAGCCTGAATGGGTCGGAAGGACGGGGTAGGAGACGCAGGCTGGACGCCACAGCCCTGCCCCGCTGCAGCTGACCCAGCTCAGGTCTGCGGGTGCATGCTCTGAGCAGTGCATCCCTCCTGAGACGCAGTCACCTGCGGCAGAGTCCTCCGATGAAGTCTCGCTCAGAGTTAGGCGAACACTCGCGGCTTCCTGCACTTTTCAGCGAACACTGAGCTCTTTCAGTTCGCCCTGTTGAGTAGCATCCTAACAAATGCATTCCTTACCTTCCCTTCCCCGCACTTGGCCTTTCAGCGACCTCCAAATGGTCCCGCAGTCCAGGACGACTGTCTTGCAGCTGTGCTCTGGGTCTAAAGTCGACTGGTGCAGGGGACTGTCCCCTGAGACTCTGATGGGACGTGGGCGGACAGTTACTGAGGGCACAGCCTGGCCTGAGGCCAAGGTGAGGGCAGAGTCAGGCAGGCGCAGGCTGCTCTCCAGGCCACAAGGGCGGGGCAGTGGGAGGGACCGCAAGCTCCCTGAGTGCCCCATGCCGGCTGCCTCTGGGGTGCGGGCCCCCCGTGGTTCTCATGCTGTGAGTCAGTGCCTGCACGGTTAGGATGCTGCTTACAGCAATGAAATGAGCTCCACGAGAGCACAGCCACAGAATTTCCCACAGAATTACTGCAGAGAGCCAAGAGGATCCTGGGCAGCATAGTCCTTGGCAAACAAAACACACTGGGGGCTTTGGTGTCGGAGACTCAAGAAGCCGCTGGGAAGCCCTGGGTAGAGTAGGCTTAAGGGGCAGACAAAGCCTAGTGCCCTCTTGCTGCCAAGAGCAAACCTGGGAGATCTGTCCAGCGAGGCTTCCAGCACGGTAGTTATTGGCAGAGAACGAGGACTATCCTGGTAGTCTGAGCGGTCGCTGCTGCTCAGGCGATTACAGACAGCGGGGATAGAGCAGTACTTGGGCATTCGGACAGGCGGAGGCCCCGCCAGAGCCGGGCAGAGGCGGAAGCTCACCACAGCTGTGGCTGCAGCTGCGCCTGCTGGGTGTGAGGCTCAGAGCAGAGGGGAGCGAGCAGGCCTGACACCGGCGCGACACCTGGCCTCGGAGGCCACGGCAGACGCCAGGCGCCCGGCGGGAGCAAGGCCTCCGCACCCCTTCCGGAGCAGCCCTTCTGCTCTCCACGCGCACCGCTGCGCTCTTGCTTTCCCAGCGCAGCAACACGCCCTCCTCAGGTGCTCTGCCAGAGTCTTATCAACCGTACCCGCATGGTTGTGCTCTGTAAAACTTGCCCTGAGAAGTGGGGTCCTCCTCTGCACCCCAGGACCGCCCACCTCTCGGGAGCAGGTCTCACCCCACAATGAACATTTCCTGCTCTTCACCTCCATCTTTCCTTAGAACTCAAGGTTTGATTGTGCAGAACCGGCCCTGGGCGTAGCCGCCTTCCAGCAGGGTGGGTGCGCCTCGTTTGTGGGTATCGTTGGGAGGTGCTATGGGCTTCTTATATCGGAATCAGGTACATGTATTCTAAAGGTTCCAATCACTTCTTCTGGAAAGCTGTATTGACTTATCGAACAGCTTAATCTTAAATAGATAATATAAGTGATCTTATTGTGGATATGGTTGGGATTTATTGAAAAATATTCACTAATTTTCTTACAAATAGAAGCATAACCATGTTGACAAATTTCTCATTATTGAGAAGTAGTCTGTTCAGGGGTAAGTAACATTGCACCATTTTGTGTAAGTATTTAACAATATTGGAATTTTCAGTCTTCCTGGCAGAAGCTCATCCTGAGGCCAGAGTGCACAGATTCCTAACAGCCCTACATTTGGGAGCAGAAGCTCCGCTTTTACAATCAGCAAATTTCCCTGAGCCCTAAAGCAGGGCGTTGCCCAGCTCTCCCAGCTCCTACGGACAGAACTCTGAGGAGCCAGGAGAGCAAGCTTGCCGGCCGGCAGCAGGGCCTCAGCGGTTCTGCCACCTCTGGAGCTTTCCGGGGTAGCTCCAGCTCCCCCAGGACAGGTCTGCATCCGGGACTCCAGGGACAATGAGTGGAGCTGAGTGTGGACCAGGAGGCTGAGCGGACCAGAGGCGGAGAGGCCCAGAGAACCCGGACACGTGTGTGACACAGGGTGAGGCGGCCAGGATGCAGGAAGACCAGGGCACCGCGGGAAGACCCCGTCGCTCCCAGGACATGGGTGGGGGGCAGTGTCGTCCTGAGAGTGCTGCACAGGGAGTGAGGAGGACACATCCACACTGTGACCACCCAGTGACCACACTTAGGCGGAACTGGGGACCGAACTGAAAGATGCCAGGAGTGAAAACTTCCACGCAGTGTAGCTCTTGGTCTCCGCCATCTCCGAGTATCTGTGTGTAGCCAGAGGATTTATTTGCTACACCCCACAGTGTGTGAGATAAACGCTCATACTCACCACGTGGAAAATCGAGCCCCTTCCCACGTCCTCAAGAGCAAGACTGAGGTGCCAGACACCTATTGCCTGCGGTGACACTGCCTATGGCGAGACACTGAGGAGGCTGAGGCATGAGGGCCGCTGGAGGCCAGGACTTAAGGACTGCCTTGGGCAAAACTGAGGTGAGAAAAAAAATACAATTTACACTTTCAAATGCATACTTATTATTTATGTAATATCTTCCAATTTATATCTTAAACAATAACTCTAGTTTCTGAAGCCTCAGAATTAAACGTTTTTCTAGTGGATCTCCTTTGCTGAACATACTGAGGCAGAAGAGTGCTTACATTTTTAGAACACAAAACTTTCCAGTCACTCTTCCCAGCGCACCCAGCACCTCCTTGTTCCTCAGGCTGTAGATCACAGGGTTCAGCGTTGGGGTGAAGATGGTGTAGACGACAGCCAGGACCTTGTCCTCTGCTGGAGACCGGAGAGACTTTGGTCGGAGGTACGTATAAACGAATGGTGCATAGTACAAAGTCACCACAGTGATGTGGGTGCTGCAGGTGGAGTAGGCCTTCTTCCTGCCCTCCTGGGAGCGCATGCGGAAGACAGCAAGGAGAATCTTCCCATAGGAAAATGCAATGACAATGAAAGGAAACAAAAGAAGGAGGATCGTGCTGAGGAACACTGTGTACTCATGGACCATGGTGTCCCCACAAGCCAGAGTCAGCATGGCAGGGACGTCACAGAAGAAGTGATCAATGGCTCTGGACCTGCAGTATGGGACACGGAGGATGTACACTGTGTGGGCACAGGCATTGACAGCGCCTATGGCCCAAGATGCCAGGATCATCAGCACACACACTCCCCTGCTCATGCGGATGGGGTAGTGCAGAGGAGAGCAGATGGCCACATAGCGGTCATAGGCCATGGACATCAGGATCAGCGCTTCTGCACCTCCTAAAGTCAAGAAGAAGAAACACTGAAGCCCACACCCGATGAAGGAGATGGACTTGTTTCCAGTTAGAAACCCAGAAGCCATCTTGGGGACAGTGGTGGAGACATAAAGGATGTCCACGAGGGAGAGCTGACAGAGCAGAAAATACATGGGTGTGTGGAGGTGGGCGTCCAGAAGGATGAGCAGGACCATGCACAGGTTGCCAGCCAGGGCCATCAGGAAGACGGGGAAGGTGAGTGTGAAGAAGATGAGGCCAGCCCTTGATGGGGGGAAGAGGCCCAGGAGGACGAAGTCAGTAGAGGGCTGCGTGTAATTTTCCATGGGGCAGTGGCTTAGTGCTTCCTAAGAATGCCTGAAGTCATATGTACATATAAAACAGGAAGCTATTTTAATTCATTACTTTGCTAAGAATGACATATCCACTATTATAGCTCTTTAATAAAGAACAGGTTTTGAAAAGATTTCCATTTTCTTCCTCACATATTAATGTGAAGATGACAAAGACTTATGAAAACTATAACACATCTGTCAATTTATTAAAATAAATAATTGCTCCAGGATCCAGAGAGACAGCAGCAAAAGCATCTGCCTGGTGAATGCAAGGTCCTGAGTTCAATCCGCAGTCTGCAAAAAATAAAATAAAATAATTACTCCAATCCTTTTATTCAAGCTAAAATTTAAGTACAAAATCAGTTGGCATCAAAAACAAACCTTCCTGTAAAAGTGAAAATATGCAAATCTATTGAAATTTGTAAATTACAAGCCCATATTTTAATACATTTTCATGACACCTAGTGATGCTTTTACTTCCTATGTGATGACAGATTATTATATAAGTAGGGACATTCACAAATAACTATTGAAGTGTGCTGCACTAGAAATAATATAAGGAACCGAAGGATACTCTAGGAAAGGAAATAAATCTCAAAAATGGGAGAATACAAACCCAAGAAAAATCTCAACCACGTTTTGCAAATGCTGAGATCATCTCCTCTCTTTGCATGACCAGCCGGTCATCTTAATAAACTGAACCTTCCCAAAAGAAGTCTCTTGATCTCCTTCCTGTTAGGCACAAACTGTATAAATCTGAAACCACATTAGCATTCTGAGGAGGACTTAGGACACCTGGGTTCCCAGTAAGTGTACCTAAGTTCTTAAAATCGGATCATGCATATACCTACATGACCTGGTGGAGTCAAATTGCAGACAGTTTCGTGAATTTCCGGTCCTGAAGTTTAAGCTGAGAGGCAGGAAAGCGCCCCTGCAGGGTGCACAAGGACAGCGCTGCGCAGTCCAGGAACTGAGGCCTTCGGGGGCGGCTCCTCCCTTCATGTGCTTTTATAGCAGAGTCCACTAAAAGAGAAAAGAATTTAATTTCCAACGTTTTTAGTGCATATGATGGTAGTTTCTCCAA